TTATATGGCCGCTGTCAATTTTTTCCCTACCAGAAAGCAGAAAGTGAAGCTCTGAGAGGAAACAATGGGGAAGAGATTTTCTCTTCCATCAGCAAATAAAGCTGCAGTGATATCAATAGAAGGGGTGAATTGGACTCATAACTCAGTATATTTCCACCTGCCTTTCCATCTTGTAAGAGGAATGATACCACTGTGTGGACGGGAATTATACAGAAGAGGACAGTTGAATATTCTAAAATCATATTCTTATGTAAATCAGACTATCAATAAGTGCTTATTATTTATGCACAGAACCTTATGTTATTAAATAGCTTTTTAAAGCTTGCATACTGTGAAGATTTTACCAAATAAACAGGGTATATTTTTATAAATAAAATAGTATTTCTTCCACCTCTTCAGAAGAAATAACACTATGACTAAGAAATGAATAGTCTGAATATTTATTAGAATTAAAATGAGCAAAATATTACTTTTTCATTCCAGAATACACTAGATGCATATATTTTATACTTTTAAATTTATCTTTCTTACAAGTACAGAAAATATACTATAAAATACGATATTGAAAATACGGATTTTTTTTTCCTTGATATTTTATTTATTTCAGTTCTTCATTTTAGAAGTTTTGAAGCCAAATTTTTGCCCAGTTCTTGGATAGTTTCTTGGTAGTTTTGTTTTGTTTTAATGCACCAGAGCAGATGTTGTCAACATTTTAAATTTCCTGTTAGGTAAAATAATCATTACTGTGGTTTATGCTTTCAACTTAAAATAACATGATATCTAACCTGCCTGTCATTTAAATAGACAGTGTCAATATCAACAGGACAGATCTAAGAGCCTAAAATCTGTCACAGTGGAGAGTACTTAACAAGCAAGAATGATTTCCTTCCCCAAAAACTACAGCAATGGTTGTAGCTGGGAAGTACAGTGCAATAATGTTACAGTACATCCAGTAAAACCTGGCAATTTGAAATATTCACTCAGCAAACTTATATCCACCAAGCATTTGTAACCCTGTAACCTTTCCAGATGCTCATAATACATCCAGATTTACAAGGAAGGACAAAAGCTACAGACACATCTCCAGCTCTTGGAAGAACCCAGACATACTGAAACTTCTCAAAGGATGACTGAAGTAATCAGTTAATTCTATAATTTCCATATATTTCTTCCTTGCATCCAGTAAAACTTAGCTCATTGAATATCAAAATTTTAACTCTGAAACATCCTCTTAGCATGTGCCTTACATTTCCATAGGTCTATTCCTGAAAAGCTACCTGGGCATATAGTCCTGCCTATGGAGACACTGAAACCTTAAAATTTTAAAATTTTAAAACCTCTGTAGAAGAAATTCTATGAAGGAATAAAATGAGCAGCTAGCAAATCAAATACTGCAAAAAAAAAAAAAAATTAACTTGAAGTAATAGTTTTCACCTATAACTACAGTTTAAGTCAATATGATTTTCCTGTTACTTTCAATGGCACAATTCATTATTAAAATTAAGCGGGAAAAAAAAACTAAGTATTTTATTTGCATCTGTTTTTATTGTTTTACAGTCCAGTTACTTTGAATGATCAAGCCATTCCAATCAGTTCCTCCTTATTAGGAAAGTATCACAGGTTTTTACTGACTGAAGTTACTTCCTTGAGGAAAGCTACTTCTTTTTGTAAAAAAAAAGTTACCATATGTCATTAAAGAAATATTGTAAATTAGAATGTAAATGTATGCTCAAAGTTCTTTTAGAACACTAATTTTGATTTAAAATGCCACTGTGCTTCATGGTCTCCAACAGCACAATACTGACATTAACATAACTGAGAGATGGGAACGCCAAAAAAATTTAGAAATAAATAAAAAGTAAGAAAAAAGTAGAGGAGATCCCCCATAAAACCAGAAATAACTACCTGTTGTTAAGCTAGGAAGGAAAAAAAGAAAAAAAAAAAAAAAGAAAAAGAAAAAAGGTGTAAAGATTCCTTGATTTCCTAAAACCTCTGCCCCCAAGGCATGGTGTGTACTGCCCATGCAGAGTAGACGTGAAAGCATCAGAGGGAAGGAGGAAGAGATAGAGGGAGGGAAAGGGATACACAGCTACAACCCTGTAGCTATGACTTTCTAATTAAAAGGATTTTTGATAGGAATATAAATCTAACTTTCACACCAAACTGCTAGAGTTTGGAATTTTCACAGAAATCCTTATTTTTGGGAATCACAGGGTTATAGGTTTGCTGCTGAGATTGCACAAAAGCCTAATTAGTGGCAAAAAAAAAAAATTAATTAATTATCCAGAGCTATGGAGAACAGTATTCGCACAGAAACAAGTTCCAGATGATTTGTACAGAATATAATGAAGTAATAAATACAAGTAAAGCATTTAGTCAATTTAAAATAATCCTCATCTTCCACATGACTGTATATGTATTTTGACAATATAATATGATACTTTTAAAACAGGCTTTCAGTTTAATTTTTACAAATTATCCTTACAGATAATTACAGAAAAACTAGAGAAAATTAGAAAAAATAGAGAAATTTTTTTTTATTTTTTTTTAAATGTAATATAGCTCTGATAAAGTTCACATTCTTCATATGAAGTTTACAAGTTAGATGTAAGTATGGGACTGGATTCAGTGATTCACAGGTGACCTATTATGTTCTCCATCTCCTGATGTTCTAAGGGAAATAATTAAAAAACATTTGACTGAAGCTTTCATACTTGAATGGATCACTCTCCCAAACCAAGCAACTGAGTAAAATGGCAGATCCTAACTACAATATTTGATGACATGTATCTGTGAAACTCTGTATCTGTGGTTATCAGCTTTCCTCAGGATATCCAATGATCTTAACAATGAGTCTCTAGCACTGAAATTTTATTCTATACAGTCTTCTAACACATTCAAAGTGTCTGGAACTGGAACTGGTCTCTTTCTACATGTGCTGTCATAAACTAGGTAGACTCCATGCTCTTTTTTTTTTTTCTTTTAGTTTGTTTTTTTTTTTAAAGACCAGAGTTAAGAAAGGACATAAGAGCAGAAATTCAGTTTGTATTCTAACATTTGTGTCTATGAACCCAACAATCTCACATTTTGAAATGTGTTCACAGCCAAAACCAATTTGAAAATGGCTGCTCTGCAGTTCATTTCATCCAAATGAAACAATTTGGAATACCAAATGCTTTAACACTACGGTTTGCCCTGCATAAGCCTTTGGTCTACGAAGAACGTAGGAATGGGGCTGTAGTACATGTGACAAAACCAGGGATTTTCAGTCTGAAATGACAATTTTAAATTTGCTCTTGAAAAGTCAAACTTCAAATCTCCATTTCCTCCTTTTTGTGGAACGGCTGTACCTCTTGACCAAGACTGGAAAATCCACCACCAGGACAACCTTCCTTTTCTCTTCTAGTCCAGTAAATAGGATAAAAAAAAAAACTTTTATGACAGACAAAGTCCAGACAGCAGACTGATATGGCTGAGCAGCACAACCAACCAATTCAGAGCAGTGATAAATCATGATGAAATGGACAAAAGACCAAGGGCAAGCAATAGCAAAATATATATCTGAAACACAGACTGGGTCTGTAAAGGTCTAAAAAGAGTGCCTTAGACTGAATGGTAGTTGGTAGAGGATCAAAACTATGAGCAAAGAAACTGTTTCCTGTAGTTTCAGTGTTAGGATGTAACAAAGCAGATTTTTTTACTTTTCTTTACCCCATTCTCTGTAACTAGGTAGAATGGCATCAGCATATGTCCATGGCACACTGGAAATGAAACCACTCATTAACATCTGGAACTGGTTAAGTGTTTGGACACAAAAAGAGGGACAACTAACTCCTGAGTGAAGACTTAGTTCAGAGCTTAAAGATATTACCACACTTCAGCCTTTGTAATGATGGAATGTCATCATTAAGCCCTAAGTTTGGTTTCCCATCTCATCCTGAAAGTCTCCAATTAGCTAGACAAAAAGTCCCAGAGGTACCACTGAAAATGTAGACCTGCCAGCACACTTCTTTCTCACAGATCTAGACATAGCCTCTGCATCAGATATTTTTGTTTCTTAACTATTTATCAAGCAAATCATTAAGGGCATGATTCAAGCCAGTTCATTAAGTGTATCAAGGATGAATCCATAAATCCAGTAGAACAGGGCTCATGTTAGGCAGAACATAACCTCCTGGCACCTCTCCCTGCTGGAGAGGAATAAGCTGTATCTGTGCCTTTTCCCCAGTTCCAACCAACACTGCTAAGACAACTTTGGTATCAGATACTATTTAAAATAACTATAAATGTGAAAGGAATAAGGTTCCTCTCAGATAATGCAGTGTACATCATAGAATGAACTGAAACAACTTTAAATATACGGCTATCTATGGTTAACTTTTAATGTGTTCTTTCTCCTACCTGCAAGTTACTCCAGTAATTCTTTGTTCTTAGTTATGCTCTATTTTAAGTTGCAAGTTCTTCCTCTAAACAAACAAAATAAGCTATTCCAGTACCAAACAGGACACCCTAATTGTACTTTCCATGACAGGTCTACACATTCCTCTGCTCATTATTTAATGATAAGGGAAATTCTCTCCAACACCGTGCAACTTAATATGTTTCCAAAACTCTAAAAAAATCTAATCACTGTAGATTCTCATCAAGGTGTGTGACAAACAAAGTTAATATAATTACCAATTTTGCAGGTATTTTTTACTTAAATAATTAAAAGAAATCCTTAAAAAAAAAAAAAAAAGGAAGACAACTATAGGCAAATCTTTTATTTCTTTTTGAAGGGCATTTTTTAAATCTGTAGTGTCTGCAAAATATTTTGATATGTGTGATGTAATTCTTTAAAAAAAGATAAATTAATATTGTAATTCTTAGGAAATGTAGGATCCATCACTAAAACAGTCAGGGCAATCACAAAATCCAAAAGCAAAACAAACCAGGAAAAAAAGTTACTATACACTAGGCAGAAATTACAATAACTTTGGACTACATTTAATTGTACTCACAGTTGACACTGGTCTCCTTTGATTCCCTTAGTCGTGCAGAAACATTTTCCTGTTTGCATGTGACAAATATTTGCATGTCCACTGCAAGTGCAAGCTATAAAATCAAAAAGGAAAAGTGAGATTTCTTTACAACTAAAGGAATTTTCATGGATTTAATATTTCATCTTTAAACACATAATTTCCTACAAGCTGTATTTAAAAAAAATAAATAAATAAAATTTCTACTTTAATTCTTAGCTTCTTTAAAGAACATTTCTCTAGCACATCATTTAGTTTATTTTCTGCAGAGTAAAGAACTAGGCACATCTCTTTAGGGACTCTCTTCCAAAACTTAAATAATAGCAGTTAGAGAGCAGCCATTAAAGTCTACCACTTCAATGTGCAATAGAGAAAATTATTAGCAATACCATCTGTACAAGGTGAAATCCTGACCAACGGAAAAAGCAATGGCAGAATTCTATTAGTTTCAAATGTCTAATTAAAGAAAGCAACATAGTAGATGGTTGGTAGAACATCTAGTATAATTGGCACTCTTGCTTTTGACAAAAGCGAACAGAAGGCAAGCTTTGAAACCACTTGAACAAAGGCAGAGTTAAAATTACAATTAAAGTCCACAACAAGAATATCCTAGAAGCAAAACATGAGCATCTTTAAAAGCTCCTGCGATTTGAACTGGAGGAGAATCACAGAAAGATCATCACTCCACTGCTTTTTAAATTCCATGCATCAAGCAAATCTCTCCCCAGTGGTCTGCTCAATGCCACTCTTACTGCCCAATTGATTCTCACCTCAAAACAAGTCTCCATGTTCCAAATTCATGAGCTTTCTTTTTGCTTCTCCATACCATGTTTATATTACTTGCTACCTTGTTTAGTCAGTCCTCCCTCTTCAACAACCAAACATACAGAACGTAATAACGTCCCTCTGGTAAATGTGTCAATAAGTTCCCATGTCTTACTGGAATAATTACTTGTTAATATTCACACTGTATTTAAAGTCTTTCTTTAATACAAAGTAACTCTGAACCTACCTTGATGAACATATGCTTCCACTAAAGTTTTAATTACAACTCAGATAAAAGATCTAATATATGTAGACTCCTGCTTGGGAACAGATATGAGAGTATGTGGTGACACATATATAATAAAAGTTTATCTTCCACTTTAGAATCCTAATATTAAATTTTTATCAGAGGGACTAAGTTTTAATGTTCCTATTTTACTGATAAGGAATAACTCTCAATGAATACTTCCATGACAGTGTCCCATGCCCTACACACTCTAAACTCTCTGCCCCAGTCTAAAACAAATTGGGGATAAACGATCAGATTAGGACCACAATTATACATAAGACATTACAGAATACTTCAACGTCAGGAATTCTGTGGTTTGTTCAGCCTTCAGAACCTGTTCAACAACCAGCTGAAGCTGAAGGAGCAATTCTTACTAAAGAAGTACTAGAGATTCAAATTGCCTGCAAGAAACATGTACCAGAAATTTCTCTGCAGCATATAGTGACACAAGATGTTTTTCTCTTTCATAATACAGCTTGTAATAACATTTCTGAAAAACATTTAGTTACCACAGAGGGTTAAATATTTTAATATTTCTATGATCTTGATACCCTACAATAAAAGTTCATAGAAGGGCTGCTACTATATAATCAGTTATGTTATCCTAAATTCATTTATGTATTCCCCTCTACATTCATGGAATTATTATTCAGGCACTTTAAGCTGGAAAAGCCTCATCTCAAAAGTTAGTTTTAATTGTGAAAATCTTTGCTATGCTTTCAGTGAAAAACAAAGGAATATATTTTTAACAGCTTATTCTGCTTATGGTTAACTTAACAGTGATACACCATCACAAGGCATCACAAAAGTTATAAAGGAGCTAAAAGTCTGAATTCCAAGTCACATTCCAAAAGCTGTCAATATGTTGACAAATACAGAAGCTATTGTCAACAACCTTATTGATTACTTCCATAGTTATTGCTCAGTTAATAGGAAGTAGATCACAAATGTGAAAAACAGAACTTCTTTTACTTGAGTAGCTTTTATTTAGTAAAGTATTTAAACACTGAGTTATACTAGCCTTTGAACACCATACACTATGCATTCTTATCACTTTCTTAAAAAAAAAGGTAAAATGGATTATACAGTAAAAGTAACACATATAGTGATATGAGACTTCATGGAAGGGCAAAACCATTTCCTTTGGCAGCTCAGACATGACTTCTATAGCCAGTCCATGGAATTGCTGACAAATGAAACTTTTCAGCATCACACATCCTCAGGGACATCTAAATCAAATCAGTGCCTATATAGGGCACTTTAGTGTACTATGTGCTCATTCACACAGCAATCCAGAGATGAACTACTTTCCAGTCAGTCAGGTATCTCCTTCCATTTGAACTGCATCATGTTTTAGTCACTGCACATTGGTGTCTTTGATGTTTCCTGGATTTATACTGGAGAATCATTATATAACAAATATCTGACAATTCACTTTCCCATGGACTTATGTCTAAATTTTGACCTGTGTGTATTCATAGCACACACAAATAAAGGCTACACCCATGGTTTGGTGTCTCTCACCAAAACCATGAACATTGCTGTGCTACCTCGCTCTCATCTTCATGGCACATAAGAAGCTTCTTTAGTGCATTAAGATCAGTATGGTTGGTGAAGGAGAAGAAAGGTGTTCAGAAGACTCAGAACCTTGTATTCTGCATTTCTCATCAAGTCTCATCACAAGATGAGATCCTCATCAAGATTCCATCACAAGTCTGTGATAAATGGATTCCTACCAGTCTGTAGACCTCTAAGTGGGAAGAAACATAAAAAAAAAAAAAAAACACAACACAAAACACAGGTTGGATGGGACCTTGTGCAACCTGGTCTACTGGGAGGTGTCCCTGACCATGACAGGGACTATCCAACTATCGGGTTGGAACTAGATGATCTTTAAGGTCCCTTCCAACCCAAACCATTCTATGATTCTATATAAGAC